TGATATAGTGGTATAAGATTTTAGAAATATTCATAGTGACTATGATTTTAAAGTGATTGATGAAGAAGATAAAAACATATTAGATTTTATATTAGCTTATGATTTTATTTTTGTTGATAGTTTATTTAATTAAATAGATGACTATATTATCACTTATAAGAAAGGATTTAATAAATACAAATTTAAAATTTTCTTATGAGAAAAATTCATCGTTGAGATTGTAAAGATTATAAGGTAATTTCAAGCAAAATTTTAAGTACTCACTATCAATTATTGGTTTTAGAATTTATGATAAATGACCGAAAGATGAAAAATATAATGAAATATTATCAAAGAATTTTATGATGACACTTAAAAGACACAAATATTATTTTTATGAATAAACTTTAAGATCATAAGATTTGGGATGTTCATGAAGCAACTAATGTTATGTAGGATAAAGTAATTAAGGAGTACTATTAAGCAAATTATAAAAGATCTACTTAAAGAATCAAAAAGAAAAAAAAACTCTTAAGAATTAAAATAATTAGTGGTGGAATAATAATATACAAGAAAAAAATAAAATATAATAAGTTTTTTATAAAGATAAATGCAAGAACATACAAAATTGGGAAAAATATAAGGTGAACTGTAAGGAGTATAAGAGAATAATTTATGATGCTAATAATTTTGATTTTAGTGATCTATATAATATATTATATGCTAAAAAGGGAGAAATATATATGCAAAAACTAGCTAGCCAAAGAAAGAGATAAGAAAAGTAAAAAATTTAATTCAAATAAAATGTATTAATAATGAAAATAAAAAAAAGTATATTTTTTAGATGAGAATATTCAACATAAATGAGTCAGGTGTTTTGATATATCATTAAAGATTTTGAAAATAAGACCAACTTTAGTAATCTTGATATTATTAATAATAACAAAATTTTTTATTTTTACTATGACATTCGTAAAATAGAATTTGATGAGAATTTAAGGAAATTGAAAGGTGGAATATCAATAGAACTTGTTGGTATTTCAATAGAAGTGTGAAAATATTTATGACATTTGAAATTTTTTTTGAGCAAGAACTTTTTATTAATATTTTAAATACTAAATACATGTTTGGGGGGTGGAGGAAGAGTACTTTCGTATATAGTTTTAAGAATAAATGTGTTGCGCATGAGTTTGAAGATTATAGAGAAATTAAGTTAATATGTCATACATTAAAATTATGGGAGACAGTAATTGAGCATAAGTTAGGAGGAGAAACAAACATTTCCTAAAATGAGTTTGCATTTATGTTGGACAACTTTACTATGAATGCTATATATTTATTGTGAGGTTTGATGGAGAAGTATAGAGAAAGTAAAAATGATCTAGATATGATTTTTGTTCATTTAGACAAAAAATCATATTATAAGGTTCTGAGAGAAGTCCTAGAAATGAAAAGCGTATAAATTATGTATATTAAAGTAATTAGAGATATGTACATTAGAGTTGTTACTTATCTTTGAATAGAAGAATAAATTACCTATTATTTTTCTATTTTAGTTGGATTATATTAGGGGTCAACGTTAAGCCCATATCTTTTTTTCTTTAGTTAGAGTTAGAATGTTCTTACTGGACATTTAAAGGAGGATATACCTTGTTGTATGCTTTTCTCTAATGATATCCTTCTTGTGGATAAGATTGTAGAAAAAGTTTAGAAAAGGATAAATTATGGAGGTCAACTTTAGAGTATAAAGACTTTTATTTTAGTATATCTAAAACTAATTAAATTGAATATAATTTTAGTATTAGTAGATCAAAGGACGGGCTTGTAGCAATGAGTGATCAAGTTATTAACATGAGTGAACGTTTTAGATATCTCGGCTCTATTGTTCAAGTCTATGGTCATATAGATGGGGATGTTATTAGTAGAATTCAAGTTGGATGATTGAAATGGAGCAATGCATCGGGCCAATTGTGTGATAGAAAGTACCGCTTAGGTGTAATGGAAAATTCTATAAGATGGTTGTGGGACCTGCCATGATTTTTGGGTGAAATTTTGGCATATAAAATAGAAGCAAAAAACTAAGTTAAGTGTTATTGAGATAATGAGATGAGAATGCTTAGGTGCTTGAGTGGCTTTACACTTAGAGGCAAAATAAGAAATGAATAATATCCATGAAAGGGTTGGTGTAGCTCCAGTAGCATACAAGATTAGAGAGTGTTATCTCTGATGGTTTGGTCACTCTAAACATTGACTATCTGACAATATAGTTAGGAAAGTAGATGTTTTAAATTCGACTTATGTTAAGAAAGACAAATGTACACCTAAAAAAACATGTATGTTGTACAAAAACAGATCATAATTTATTACAATTAAACGAAAATATATCACTCAATATGAAATAATGAAGAAAAATCTAAATTTTCTTAATCACACATGATTCAAATTTAATCACCCCTTAAAAAAAAATTCTTAATAAAAATTATCTTGAGGGCTCTAAACTAATCATGACAAAATCAAAATATCAAAAAAAAAAAAATGGTTATAAAATAATACAAAATTTTAAATATTATTTTCTTAATACTTTTTTTTTGGAATAAGAAGCCCATTGATTCCCTCAACTACTTTCCTTACCCTCTCAAAAATTCCTCTTAACTTAATTTGACTACTAATTCCACGTTCATATTCAAGCCATGAGATAAAAGCCAATGAAAAATTCTAAGTTTCAAAAAAAGCCGCAAGCTCTAATTAATATATTGCTTCTTCTAGCTGTCCCTCATAATAAAATTGGGAAATTTACATAAATACCACCAAATTCTTCGAATTTACATATCTAACATACATGCACGAATTAAATGTTTTAAGCATTTTTTTTAAAAATTACAAGAAATGAAGACCGTTAATTTCAATGTGAAGTCAAACTACTTGAATTGACTCCACATGTCAATAATTTCACCTTCGATTACCTTTTGTTCACTTTGAGCTAAACTCGTACTCTCACCACATGTCATTGTATAATTATAAATGCTATTTTTACCCTTAACATTTTATTATTTCATACATTCACCCATATGTCATCCTTAGCCTTTATGATCTAACATTGTGAACGTGTGAAAAGCACTTATTAGCTCTTTAACATTTTTTTTTCCCTCTTCTTTTCATGTCTATTTTGAATGAAGTTTTACATATATACCAATAAATTCCTATTTATTTATAAATCTAACTTTAACTTTTAACATTTACACATATACACACACACACTTACCTTATGCACTAAATAATGTGTATTTTAATTTTTAAAAATTAAATGGTGATATTATTGATTAATAGAAATGTTAAAAATAAGATTTATACTAATAACTAATTTTACTATGACATATCAAAAACATTTTATTTTAAGTAAAAATATAAAATAAAAAAATAAAATAAAATGAAAAGAGATCCTAAATGACCACTTAGTAAATTAAAAAAAATTAATTTTTTATTTTCAATTTGGATTTTATTACTTTTAATTAATTACAAAAAACCATATTTAATATCTCAAAAAAAACTTAAGAGAAAAAACAGGTGATAATATCATTAATTATGATAAATTCTATTAATTAATTATTTTTTTACAATTAGTGTATAATAAAAGTAATTAAAATAATTATATGTCATTTTCATGTTAAGAAATATTCAAGAATTAGAAAACAAATCAATTTTATAAAATTTGAATCATGTTATTCTACCCCAAATTATTTCAATTTTTTTTAATGTCTTATATAGTGATTAGAATGAAATTATAATTGCACCTTTAACTTTTCTTAAGAAAATTGTTAATAGTTTTACAATATAGGTTAAAAATTTTTAAATTTGTTTTGGGATAAGTGAATACAATCAAATTGTATAGTTACACCATGAACAAATTTTCATCATCCGAAATGAATCTCAAGATATGACATGAATTTCAAAAAAAAATTTGAGTAAGAAAAGTTCAAACGTCGATTAAAAATCATTCAGAACTCCAATTTTGGTAAACCTAAAGTCAAACTGACCGACTAGATAGGACGAGTCAAATAATATCAAAATTGATCCAATATGAGTCAAAAAGAACATATTAAACCTTTAAATCAATTTTGAAAATTTTTAGTGCATAATTGGAAGGATAAAGATATTCCAAATCTGACATGATTATAGTCAAATAGAGCATCTCGACAAGACGAATCTACAGAATTTTAGATCACTTAATTCTGGCATCGCAAAGACACTTATTGTCCACATAACACAATTCAATTGAGGGAACCTCTCTCGGTTTTCTAATCAGAGTGATCCAAATTCTTTTTTATTTGCAACCCTGGCTTTAAAAATAGAGCCTTATCCCCCATCTTGAAAGGGAAGCTTGATCCTAAGCTAGAGGTAGGTCGGAGCTTGAAGAAAGAGTTGAAACCCGATATCATTTATGCATTGAAGATTCGGTGAACTTCTCTCGCTTCTATAACCACTGATCATCTTTGGCCACTCACCATTGCTAGTCAGCCACTGTCGATCACCCATTGCCGCCACCCACTATTTGCAACAAAATCACTCGGCGAGTCACAACGTGTGGTATAGAATCCCAGCGTGAGTTGTGGAACACAGAATCACCCGACGGAGCAGTATGTCACCCAGTACGTCG